TCTCTCTCTCTCTCTCTCTCTCTCTCTCACACACACACACACACCCTTTTTTTTTTTCTCTCCCCCCCCCCCCCCCAGAGGCTAAGCCTAAAAACTAGCATGTCATCGTTTTCCAGCACCGCGCGAAGGTGCGCTCCATTTTGTAATTAATGGCTTCTCAGCACACACACACACACACACACACACACACACTTTCTTGCAAATGTATAGACTTGAATCACCACTCTGTCCTTCACACACCTTTTGCACGCTGTATTGATATAAAAGTCATTAACAAATAACATCTTGATTACATTATTAAAGTACCATCAATCAGTAAGTCAGTTCACGTAACAATTCATTGTAAACTGAATTACTTCTAAATATCTGTTAAACGAAGTGCTTCATTGATTCTCGCACATTAAATGTCTGGACAGTAGTCATGTGATCTTCCTGCAGCCTGATTTCTGGCCAATTGTTCAGTGTTTTGGCGTTCAGTGTTTTGGCGTTCAGTGTTTGCAAAGCGATCAGGGACGGTTTAGATAATCGCCCTCAATAATGCTTTCAAGCAGCGTTTCAAGGATGTTTTCTGGGTTTCATGTTCATCAAATCAGTGCTTTCACCAGACATCACTTATTTCCCTGAAAACATGCTGCATGAATGAAAACAGTCTGCTCCATCTTTACTGTCTGCATGTTTTCATATTTAACACGTTGACATGAACTAAAAGCAGCAGCTGAAGACAGATAATCCAATAAAAAACGTTTGGAAAACGATAAGAAGGTAAAATCCGAGTGTAAACGTGACTTTAACGCCCTGGAAACTTGAACTTGAACATCATCAACCCACATTATTAGCTCAAAACCCTTTTCATGGAATCATAAATACTGGTTAATGCGACGGATTCACAGAAGGATGTTTCATCACATCATCCGTCTGTTTATTATTTATGACTCAAAATAGAAGTAAATTACAGCATTCAAAGCGCTTAATGAGCCACTCGCTGCTGATTCTTCCTCTTTCTCTTCGCTTGAGGAATCTCGGAGGAAGAAGCGACACTACTGTGTTCGGCTCATTTACCTGGAGAGGAGCGACTGTCATGTTTCTACGGATGAATTTGTGCGGTGATGAGCGGCGGCGGTCGGGGCCGAGCAGCACCTCGGTCTGATGTACTTGACCACATGCCAAGCCGAGGATTTACTTATTTATTTCTGCTGGTCTGCAGGCTGAAAGCTAAAACCTGAACATGTCACAGAGCTGAGAAAGAGAGACGATGGCGGCACGCGACGCAATTATATGAAATGAATCTCCTCAGGAGAGGAAACTTGTCAGATTGATGAATCAGACTTTTCATAACTTGACGGCACATCAGTGAGCGATGTTTCCTGAAACAAACACAAAGCACCTCCTCCTCTCTGATGAACCTTTCTTTCACCACCAAAGTACCAAACTGAGCCTATTGTGGTTGGTTTAAGCATGCAGGCTGCATGATGTCACGAGCTTGTTTATTTGCAAAGCTTTTCTTGAACATTCAGTCGATGCATCTTGCAGTGAAAACACTGAGATTTGTTTGACTGTAATTAAAACTGCGTCCTAACCCAAACTTGCGAGAAAGTTCTACATCACAGTTATAAACACATGCCCAAATGCATGCTGGGAGCAGACTCTGCATTGCCGCAGGCCACAACAGGGCAGCCAGTTACTGCAGGAACCCGACTCAAGTAGAACCTAATGCGTTTCTGTCCCTGAGGTCGGGACTCAATTAAGGCTGCACTCAGTGTCCTGCACAGCGGCAGACAGAGCTGACCTTTAGTGGACGTTAAAGTCAGTGGTTTTGGTTTTGGTGCAGCTTGTATTATCGCGTTGAGGGTCATTTATTTTGTCTCTACGACAAACTGTACAGAGAGAGAGAGTCCATGTAGATCTAACGAACCGTAATCATTAAAGAAACACATGTTTTAGTAAATGAAGGAACAGCAGCAGGCAGCATCTGTAATATTACTCCCTGTGGAGATTTATGGCATCTAGATCTGTTGAATAAGCTAACAAGCCTTTAAAGTTGTTTTCATTGCATTTGACTAAACTGATAGCGATGAATCAGACTTTAGTTTGATGATTCAAGAGACTTTTAGCCCTTCAGCCTCCTCCTTTGATCTGGGATCATGCTGCCTGTTTGAATGCTTCCACAGGGAATTCAACAAGTCTGAATATGACATATACTGCTTAAGTTTTCCAGCCGTGCACTAACAGATCCGTGCTGCCGTGTAATCTGCTTCATTTAAACAGCTGCGATGGAGGAGCGATAAACTCCAGCCAGCATATGGCAGCTGGAAACGGTTATTATAGCATCATTCATCCGGGGATTAGGACCGGCCGACACTCGGCTAATTAAACCTTCGACTCACCGCTCTGTCAGCCCGGCTGAAATGAGTTAATAACGCAGAGTGTTTCGCAGACTCAGATATTAATGCACCATATTCCTGTTTCCAATTGTGAGGACGGCTAACCCACAAGCAGCAGTGCGCCGAGATCTCCCGAGAGCTTCTCTTCCAGCGCTGCTTCTCCCTCTGTAACTGAAAGTCATCTGCCAACGTGAAGTAAAAACAAAAATAACATCATTTCCCCAAATGCTGTCTTTACTTTCTGATGTTATTCTCTAAAATAGAAAGAACCCTGAGAGGTCACATTGTTTTAACTTTTTGTAATTGTCAGTTTTTCTTTCTCGGCATGGATCTGCAGCGGTCCCCCCCCCCCCCTTGTATCTGTCAGAGCCGCCCTCACCTCCCGCTGCATTCAGCTGGGATCTCCTCCATGCTGTATCAAAGCCAGCGGCTGTGTCTTTGTCTGCCGGGCGGCTTGTTATTGATGGTGCTGCTCATTATCGAGGGAGGAGGGGTTTATCGACGGGGCACACGCTCCCCGCAGAGAGGGGGCAGACAATGAAACGTCCCCTCGGAGGAGTTTGACTGGCTTTCAGCACCAGCTCCCATTTCAAGGGATGTTAAACAAGCCCAACTTTCTCCTCACTGCATGCTCTGCATCCCAGAGTGCACCTCTGCTCTGCAACAACTTTGTTGAAAAAATAAAGCAGACTGAAGCTGCAGGGATTTGAATAAATAGTTTGTGTTAAAGTGTGTAGAGAGAGTTCTGACCAGCTTTAGACAGAAAGCTCTGCATCTCTGTCGCCTCCTTGCTAATAATAGCTCATTTTCTGTGTGTTATTCAAGCAGAAAATACAATAACATAGTGAAGTGATGTGTTTAAGCAAACATCTGAATCAGTTTCATTCAGCTGTGAACATCACAGCTCTAACGAAGATAATCAGCGAAAGGCATTATTATGGCAGCTCCTACAGTCTGCGTTGCTTTAATCAGATTATAACGGCATCATTAGTGTGCAAATGTTCCCGCTGCAGGAATAATAAATGTCTGTTGAGACTGAAGGGAGCAGCGATTTTCTGCCGCTTCGTTTATCAGATCACAGTCGTCTGCTGACTGTGTTGGTTGTGATTCCACACAAATCTCTATTCTGACAAGGAAATCGGTGACTTGCGTGACACAATCGGAGATGGAAATACTCAAAACACTCAGAGCAGAGCAGCAGCCGGAGGAGGGAGAGAGATGGTTGTCGGGTTGAATTCCCTGTATGTTATCAACCTTTATTTATTATTTATTTTAATCCTTTGTTTTTCATCAGATAATGATCAGGTAAAATCTTTTGTAAATTAAGTTTTGGACTAGATTGAATGAAATATTCAATATATTCTAATGCAGAAGGTCATCTGACGCAGGACGAAATTAAAGATAGCTGACAAAGTTAATAGAGAAAACATTTGACTCAAAGTTGACTAAAAGGATAAAGATGAATGTGACTAAACATAATACATATTTTCGCCTGAGGTTGACAAAAGTAACATTGCTTTAGATTGTGTTTCTGACCCTTATTGTCACTTTCACTCATAACTTAAATCTCTTTTTCTTTAATGCTTATTGATTGCTCTCCTCCTATATCTTTCTCTTTTATGATCTTTGCATCGATCTAGAAAATAACTAACTCTGTTAGCCGGGAGTCATTTCATGAAAGCAGAGATATTTGTCAAACCTTATTTTCTGCTGCTGCAGCTTTGACCTGTATGGCCTTTAACTGGGTCAATGATCTGGAAAATTAGCATTTAGCATCAGCTAAATGGCTGGACCCTGAAATGCTTTGCTTGTTCCCCATCCAGATGAAAAGCTGCCAATGAGCGAATTGTATTTCAAGCACCGGCCATGGCTGCCCATCGCATCATCAGAGTGACGAACAACAATCACATCCTTCCTCGCTGCAAGTCTGAGGGGACGCTCATCGACCTCAGCGAAGGGATCACTGGGGCCAGTCTCAACGATGTCAAAGGTCAGTGCTTCACTGTATTCACACACTTCATTTGATTATCTGATCAGTCAAAGTTCAATATCTAATTTTGTGCTTTTCATCTTCTCTAATTCAGTCATATGTAAACGGTATTATTCTTTCTCTGGCTCTTTCGCTTCACTGGTTGCACTTCATTACAGCTATGTTTACATGCTCTATATACGCTAATGGTGCGAACTAAAAATAGAAAATGATGCAGGGAATTATGCAGTTCATCTGCTCATATGTTAACTCGGTGATCTGAACATTTTGTCGTTGCTTTTAGAATTATTAAAGGTTATTTTGGGGGCTATTTTACATTTATGTCCGGTCTGTAGTACCATCACCTCATTATTCCAACTGACCCATTACATGTCTGATTATGAGATAAGCGCTGTTAACAGCAGTATTTTACAGTAATCAGCCATTGAGTGATTACTGTAAGTGCACTTATCTAAAATAGTGAACAACCAGTTACAAAACCACTTTGCAATCAGGGGCGGAAGAGCACCACTAATAGTTTTAAGAGATTCTCTAACATCTTTTTCCTTTTCAGTGCCTTCTCCCAGTGCCTTGAGGCTGGACACGTCAGCCTCCTATGGAGCCGCGCAGGAAGTGGTTGCCATAAAGGATTATTGCCCCAGCAGCTTCACCACGCTAAAGTTCGCCAAAGGCGATCGGCTTTATGTGTTGGACACGTCAGGAGGAGAGTGGTGGTATGCCCACAACAACACGGAAATGGGCTACATCCCAGCCGCCTATGTCCAGCTGGTCAACTTCAGGAACTCCTCGCTTAGCGACAGTGGGATGATTGACAGTCTTGGGGAAGGATACGAGGATGGGTCGAAGGAGTTTGGAGGTTTGGGGGAGTGGACAGGGATGACCCTGAAGCCCTCACCAATTTACAACAACAGCCCGTTCTCTGCGAACCCTTTTATCTGTCCATTAGATCAAAACTGCAAAGATGTAAGTGTGAGGAACTCAACAGACCTTATTCTGTTTGATGCAATGGAATCTCCATCATCTTGCTCAAACTTTAACACCAGTACAATCATGACCAATGGGTTCAGCAGCTGCCACATTAACAATACCACCCCCACCAGCCCAAACCAAGAGGTTGCACCTAACGTCCACAGGGATAACCCGTTTTTCAGGAGTAAACGTTCCCACAGTCTCTCAGAACTGTCAGTACTGCAGGCGCAGTCGAATCCAACGTTACCTTCTTCGGGGTTCTTCAAAGGCCTTAAGGCTCCTTCACCAGAGCAGTTTCAGAGCAGGGAGGACTTCAGGACTGCGTGGTTGAACCACAGAAAGCTAGCTAGGTCTTGCCATGACCTTGACTCCCTGGGCCAGAGTCCCGGATGGGGCCAAACGCAGCCAGTGGAGACCAACATCGTGTGCAGGTTGGACACTAACGGAGGAGTTGTTCAGCTCCCGGACACCCAAATCAGCATCCACATCCCCGAGGGCCACGTCAGCCAAGGAGACCACCAGCAGATCTCCATGAAAGCCTTACTAGACCCTCCTCTGGAGCTCAACAGTGACCACTGCTCCACTGTCAGCCCCGTGGTGGAGATCAAGCTAAGCAACATGGAGACCAAGTCTTTCATCACGTTGGAGATGAAGGTAATGGTCGCTGTCAAGAAGGACAGTTGTCACACTGCAGAGGTGCTTTGTGTTCGAAGTGACTGCAAAGAAGGGCCTTACACGCCCATCCCGAATGCTTACCTTTACAATGATACAGTCCAGGTGCAGCTGGATGGTCTAGAGCCTTGTATGTATGTGGCTGTTGTGGTTCAGTCTCAGTACATCAGCCCCAATACCACCGTTTGGGACCATGTGCATAGGAAAGTAACTCTGGGCCTTTACGGACCCAAGCACATTCACCCTTCCTTTAAAACAGTCGTGGCCATGTTTGGGCATGACTGCGCCCCAAATACCTTGTTGGTTAACGAGGTGGGCCGACAGGCTGGCTCCAGCCCGCCCGTGGCCCTGCAGCTATGGGGGAAGCACCAGTTTGCGCTGGGGTACCCTCAAGACCTCCAGGTGGGTTTGTACTCCAACATGTCCAACTACCAGGTGAGGGCGAACGAGGGTGCGGGGTTGATTCGGGGATTTCAGGTCAAACTGGGGAAAGTCAGCAGGCTCCTGTACATGATCACATCGCACAACCCCGACAGCATTTCAGACTTCACTCTCAGGGTCCAAGTCAAGGACGCCCTTGACTGCATCCTCACCCAGTTCTGCGTCCAAACGCCGCCACCGCCGCCAACAACCGGACCGAGGATAACAGGCCAGAGGAGGTTTCTGAAAAAGAAAGAGGTGGATAAGATCGTCCTCTCACCGCTGGCCGTCACTTCCAAATACCCAAAGTTTCAGGACCGGTGCATCACCAACCTTAAATTCGGCAAGTTGATCAAAACAGTGATCAGGCAGCACAAGAGCACTTATCTGTTGGAGTACAAAAAGGGGGATGTTATCGCTTTGCTCAGCGAGGAGAAAATCAAACTGCGAGGGCAGCTGCGGACCAAAGAGTGGTACATTGGATACTATCAGGGGAAGGTGGGCCTCGTCCACGCCAAGAATGTTTTAGTTCTGGGTAAGGTCAAGCCCATTTATTGGTGTGGGCCGGACCTAACGACCACAATCCTGCTGGAGCAGATCCTGAGGCCTTGCAAATTTCTCACGTACATCTACGCGACAGTGAGGACGGTTTTAATGGAGAATGTGGGAAACTGGAGGGCGTTCGCAGATGCCCTGGGTAATGGGAATTTGCCACTGAATTACTTTTGCCGGACCGAGCTGGACAACGAGCCGGAGAAGGTGGCGTCGGTTCTGGAGAAACTCAAAGAGGAGTGTACGAACATGGAGAACAAGGAGAGGAAGTCCTTCCAGAGGGAACTCATGATGGTGAGACCAATCATGTTTTTATTTTTCATTGATTTCTGTTTATAATTTTGAATTTGACTTGATTCTCTCCACCATCCCTCCAATGTTTCTGGAGAAACAAACCACTCCTGTTGGATTGGGATCCTGTTATCAGTGGGATGAAAATCTGTCACTGCCCCTAAGACAAAGAACATGATGCTGCCCAAATGGGGTCTACATTTCAATCCCTAAAAAGAGTGAAAAGGTCGATATCAAGTTCTTAGAGACTGAAGATAATGTCTTTGGATTGCTTGTTTTAGCTGACCAACAGTCCAAAAAACAAATATTCTGAATTTGATGATAAAAAACAGAGAAAATAAGCAAATTTTCACATTTTAGAAGCTGGAAACAGACAATATGAGGGCCATTCGCCCTTGTCCTCCAACTGTTACACAGTCGAGCATTACCATAGCACATAGGTGTCTTTGTTTGATTTCTTTCCACTTCAGCCTGTGTTGAGTGTGAGCTGGAAGCGTTTGAGTCCTTATGCTCAGTCACATGAATGGTAAACAACTTGTCCTACAGCCTGAGGCGGCTCACAGCATGAACAGCCACCACATGAAAAATGAAGGGGGGTTTGGAGGAGAAAATCCTGTCAAAAAAAGCATAGAAATAAAACTTAACATCTGCAGTTTGATCATAAACAACTCTGTCAAGCAAACACACGCCGGCCTTGATGTGTTTTTCTCCGCCGACAGCGCCGACACCCTGGGGGGAGCAAAAATAGTCTCGAGACATTTCCCTCGCCAGACGTCATTATTCAAAAAGTACTTTAGCAAAGTACTTTCTCCAACTGCTGTTTATCCAGGCGGAGTTGACGAAGCGTGCATGCGACATGCTCAGTGCGGCCACCGGAGCAGCTGGTGGTAAAGTGCCTTGCTAAATGGGACTTTGACAGTAACTGTTAAGGTAAAGGAGTGTTACTCATTTGCTGTGCATGCCTTTTTTAACCTTTCACGGTTATCCAGAGAAACACACCTGCAAATAACTTTCCCTGTTTGGCTGTACGTCATGTGACCCCACCCATAATCTCTCAAGGTCTAAAGCAAAGGAGCCTTTTATGTTTTATTAAAGGCTTTTATTCTGGCGGGTATACCTTCAACTCCTGCTGAGGCTTTTAAACTTACTGTGTGCACAAAGAGCGCCTTGGCTTTCTTATCTCTGAACCAGGCTCCATCCTTTGACTCCTCTGATGTCCTTTCTTTCATATTTACTGAAAAAATGAAACGACCACACACTCGGATGACCTTCACTGAAGTCTAGCCATTTTCTTCTGAAGTCGGAGACACCTTAATCCTCAAGGACCATATAGAAATGTGTTCTATTGACCTTGATGGAAAGGTTTGTCCACAAGTGTTACAGCCCATTCAAGTGTTAGACCGTTTACCTCTGATACGATGTTTCCTAGCTGGACGCAAATCATTGCTCCGTGTTTTAGCCGGACATTCAGTGGCCCGTGTTGCTCTGCAAGCTGCTCGGACTGAATCAAATGTAAAGTTATTGTTTGCTGAATGTGAACCGCGTTGAGACTTTCTGCAACGGAGCAAAAGCTCAATTTAATTGAATCTATTCGAGGCTAAAATAAAATCAATGAATTCATGAAACACATTTGATGAAATGTCAAACAATAAGTCAATGTTTTTTTTAAACATTCAATAGTTCCTGCTTCTCTCCTCTGTGGATTTGCTGCTTTTCTTCGATTGAAGTGACAGTGAATTTATATCTTTATGTTCCGGACTGTTGATCAGACAATGAAAGCACTTCAACTTGAGTTATTGGAAATTGCGATGAACATTTTATCACTTTTTCTGACATTTGCAGCGCTGCTTCAGTTCAACAGCTTAACTGATGAGGTGCTTAGTTGTTTTTTATGTAGCTGTTTGCGTTGTGCACCGCTATTCATCATCTTTTGCTGTCTAGTGCAAGGGCATTCAGCATTCATATTTGTGTGCACACGCATCTTAAACTTAAAAATCCTTGCCCTGTTTGCTGCTGCACTACATCAGTTGTAAAGCACTCCAAGATGTGCGTGAATGCGTGTCTGTCCCCTGCAACATTTTCTCCAGATAGTAAATTGTCATTGGGCTGCAGGAACAAGGTCCAGTGAGTCACACAGGCTTGAATTACTAAATCTTCTCCTCAAAGGGAGAAATAGCCTTCCTTGTATAACTGTTACTCAATAAAACATTCCTACGTTGAGAACCTCTGGCTACAAAATCCTCGATTAGCAAACAAGGCATTCATTCTCCTAATAATGAGGCTTTTATCCAGCCAAGATCTGCTCCTTTTTAGGACAAAAATACACACAAATCTGTGAAATCTTCCAAATAAATGTGTCTTATTCAAGCATCACAAAAAACATTGTACACAATATGTTGGTCGAGTAAGACCACACTTCAGTATGCAGATTAGCTCATTGGAAAGAAGTGCTGGGAAAGGACAGGATGAAATATTGATCGGGTATCGATGAGGAGTGTAAACTGGAAGTCGTCGTGGTGAGAAACCCAGGGAGTGAGACTCAAAGTGGGAGCAATGTCTCGATGAGGGAGCTTCATTTTCCCCCCTGTGGTTTCTGTAATGAGAGAGGAGGCAGAGAAAATAGGTTTGGTGGGAGGGAAGTGGAAAAGAAAGAGTTTAGACACACTATACTGTAATATGAACAAGCTGTGGGCTTTGTTTCCCTGCCTCATTACACTGACTTTACTCATTTGTTTAGTTCCAGAATAATAGTTCAGTTCGAAGGCTGAGCACTGAGGGGATTGGTTTAGCTTAGCATAAAGAGCTAGCTGGACTAGTTATAGTGCACTACTGTTTTTTTGTTTTGTTTTGTTTGTCATGTTTTTTCTCATTTCTCTTTGCATCCCTGTGTTGCACAACAACAATAAATGATCCTTGAATCATGAAGAAAAAAGGGCTTTGTACGTTTCTTCAAAACACGGACACATTGAATGTTGACGTTTCTGAAACTAAAACACGTAAATACGTTTCGTCGTCATCAGCTTCGTACCCACAATGCTACGTGGTTAACATTGTGCAACGATGGTTAAGTTTAGGCAACAAAATGGTTAAAATTTGAAAAAAATATGTTTTTTGTTCAAATAATAGCGTTAAAATGTAATATAACGTTTACTAGTGTTAAGAAATAGCAACTGCCATTAGCAGACTGTCTTACGTAAGTCAACAAGTGTAACAACGTTACGTAAAAAGCGTAAAGTCAAAGTAAACTTTTAGTTTCACGCGACACCTGTCTCCAGGGTGAAAGTCCCGTGTTTGTTTTACCTCCTGTAATCGTGTTTACACCATGTCACTTTCAATAATGTTCGTTATATTTACTACGTCATTTGCTCTTTGCGTCGCTCGTTGTACTACAACACTCGCTCAAACGCAAAAACGTCCACGTGCAACGTATCCGTGTTTTGCAGAACGGTACCAATGCCTCCTGGCTGGTAGAGTTCAACAGAGCCAGGCTCGCTGTGTCTCCCCTCCTGCTTCCTGTTTTTATGCTAAGCTACGCTAACCATGTCATGACTTAAATTGAGCATCTCACCATTATCAGCTGATGTTCTATATAAAGTGAAAACATTTCCTGTTCCTGACTTTCTAAAGGGCAGCATGCGCCTGCAGCGCGTCCAAACAACTGCGCTTCTTGTTTCCTGTGTTTTTCAGAATTGAAACGACTTCATGTGTTATTTCTTAGTGTCACTGTGAGAAGTAAAAACTAACTCAACTTAACCTTTTCATAGTAGAGAATAGATCATCATAGGCCAGAGCTAGAACAGGGAGGAAAGAGAGAGATGAAAGTTCCCTTTATTGTCTCTTTTTGATTAAGTGTCAATCTTGGGCAATTTATCACTTCATCCATAAAGCTCACTTCCTAAAGTTTTCATTGATCCAGTTGTAGCAGCTTTTACTTGAGTCCAAGGTTTCCCTAATAAAAGATATCCACTTATATTTCATTTGTCCCCTGGATCGGTACATGTCCGCCATACCTGGACTTTGTCTGTGTGATGGGACAGTAGAGGTGTTATTTCAGCTTGATGGTGGACACAAACTGCAGTAATAGTAAGAGGGAGCTCAGTGTGGCTTTCTCCCTTTGCAATAATTAAAGCCATATCTTTTTGTTTCGAGCTGCAGCACAAACAAAGCTTCGCTGATCTTGCTGTCTTCAGTCTGCAGCACAACCACACATGAATTAAATTCTTGCTTCTGCAAATGTGGAAGCTGTAACCCTGCCGGCTTTAATTGCAGCTCGGTGTGAAACATAAAGTGTTGCAGCAGTGAACAAGCGCTCATGGTTTAGTCTCCCCCTCTCTCGTCCACACCAGCCGACAGGTGTTCTCATGAAATGTGAGCATGCATCGATCAGGACGGATCTGGAGGACTCGAGGGCATCCGACACCGCCCCGCAGATCTTTTAACGCCGAGGCTCGAGTTACGGAGGCAGAGGACAAACGAGAGCCGGACTGTCGGTGTCTGAAAGGCCGGGAGAGTGTTGTTAAATTATAGATCTGTGCAGTGAGGAGGGGCCAAGCACTCCTCCAGGGGACGAATTCAATCCCCTGCTTGTAGACTCCCATCTAAAACCAAGGTCTTTACTCGTCAGCTGGCTCAGGAAATTAAACTTCTTTACAAACGTGCAGCCAGTAGAAATCAACGTCTGAGCAGCTGATCTTTTGATGAAATAGTTGCAGAGAGTCTAGACTGCACACAGTCGCCCTTAGATCCTGCAGGAACGTCTGCTCCTCAGGAAGTGATCGATCTAAACTGAAACCAAAAGTGTTTCCTCAACTTCTTCCTGCCAAACTCCCCATGATGGGACATGTAAACCAGGAACCAAACTCTTGAACAAATCAGAAGCTGAATATTTCAGGAGAACCTTGAAGAGAAAACTGTCTGTCATGTGGCTTTACTGTACTTGTAAAGGTGGAATGGGAGATTGAAAATACCAGAAGGACAAAATACATTTTGGGGTTGTTTTTCTGCTTTTGCACATAAGAAAATGCCAAATGTCTTAAATAAGATTCACATGTTTAATTAACTTGGACTCCATTGGTTTTTAATGTAATATCTCGACTCCCAACATATTAAATGTAATTTTTAAATTTCGGTCTAAAGGGATGCGTTCTCTTTCTCTCTTGCTTCTGCCATTTAGTTTATCATGTCCATCTTTTTTACTCTCTCCCTCTCTTTCTTCTCTACCTGTCGGTATTGTCGTCTGCTCTGCTCCACCTCTCCTCCCTCCTTCCTTTTGGAAGTGAAGCTCATTTAACTGACAGCCGCCCGGTCAGCTGTCAGCTCCGTCTGTCCATCTGCTTCGGGGCTTCCTGCAGGTCGCCGCCATCCCTTATTTTTCAGACACTTTGGTCTCTCACGGAGCAGAGTGTTTTCTATTTTTAGAGCAGAATCATGTTGGTGGTTATTAATGTGGAAACATCGACCAAAGCCGGACTGGGAACAGAAACAACGTGTTGTGGTGACATCAAGTCTACATGGTTTTTACCGGTGTGTAAAGGCCTTCAGTCCCAACGCTGACCTTTGACCTGGTGCAGTTTGATGTGTTTTTTTCTGACAGGATTAAAGACCTTTATTTTGAAGCACAAACTCCTTCCTGATGCACTTTAATCCTGTCCGGCTTCAAACAGCACATCCCTCCTGCACGAAGAGCTCCACGTCGCGCTCCTCTCCAGACGGCAGCGGTGAACCCTGACGTTATATTTAGCCTGAGCCCCGTGTGAAGCCTGAATCACGGCACAGTCGAAGGTCGAAGAGGAAGAGGAAGAGGAAGAGGAGGGAGGTGAATGGTGTCTGTTTCAAAAACCAAGTAATCCATTACCTCCAGAAACCTGCACGCTGTTGGTTATCCAGGTTATTTATTACGGAGCTGCAGCTCATGAAAGAGGAGATAAAAGAAGTCAAATAGATTATTCTGATAAGTGGAAGTTTACATCAGTTTGGGATTATATGGTTCTTCCAAACTAGTGTAAAAATACTCCACTACGTGTAAAAGTCCTGTATTCAAAATTCAAAAACTTAAACATTGGAATAAATCAAGAGATAAGGAGTCGTTTTCTCATAGACTTCTATACAACCAGAGGAGTCGCCCCCTGATGGTCACAAGAGAGAATGCAGCTTTAACACATGAAGCATTGACTGGACGTTTGTTATCGTGCTGCAGCTGACTGACAGCGAGGCTGAATCAGCAGAAGCTAGTTGAGCTCCGTTAGATTAAGTCGAGGCTCCACAGTTTGAGGGTTTATCCTCAGAGTGCATCTGGGAAATCTCTGAGATATAATTTCTATAAAAGGCACAGAACCTGAAATACATTTTCCATGAAGCGTGACGTTCAGGGTGCTGCTGTTCTGTCTGTCTGAAGGCCATTAAGACAAATCTGTTCCGAAGAGTTTCACGCACCTCTGATCTGATCTGCTCAGTATTTTCTAACCCTCATTTCACCGCGTTAGCTGAGTAAGAGCGTCTTTACAGCCGGAGGGTCATGACTACTTACAGGAGGGGCTTAGGATTGTCTCTTTGCAAACATTCAGCCCCTATAAGACAAACTGTAACAGTGGTTTCCAACCAGATACCTCATCAAGTTTAAAAAAATGAATGAAAACAACTGTTTGAGAAGCAAAAATCACTCCTATAGATGTTGAATCGGTGAAGAATGGTAGCACATTGATACTTTGTTGTTTTAAGGGAATTTAAGACAGAAAGGTTCGGCTGGTTCTAGATAACGATCTAGATAACGATCATTGGTCCACATATTTCTGCTCGTGAATCAAAAAAGAACTAAAGCAAAAGAGATTGTACAAACTTCCTTTATGAAACCCCTTTCCACCGCTCCTCCGTCCCCCATCAGGCGCTGCTGAAGATGGACTGCCAGGGTCTGGTTACCAAGCTGGTCCTGGACTTCGTCTTGCTGACCACGGCGGTGGAGGTGGCGTTCCGGTGGAGGGAACTGGCCGAGAAACTCGCTCGAGTGTCCAGACAGCAGATGGAAGCTTACGAGGCTCCGCACCGCGACAAGAACGGACTGCTGGACCATGAGGTGAGAGACCTGGTCTCTTTACGTCCACTGGAATACAAGAACCACCATTAAATGTTTTTCCTTCCTTTTTCTTTCTCTCTTTGACTCCTTCAGTCCATGTGGAAGCCGGCCTACGACTTCCTCCTGACGTGGGCCGCCCACGTCGGGGACAGCTACCGAGACGTGATCCAGGAGCTCCACCTCGGCCTGGACAAGATGAGGAACCCCATCACCAGAAGGTGGAAGCACCTGACCGGCACGCTGATCCTCGTCAACTGCCTGGACACGCTCCGCGGCGCCGCCTTCTGCCCCACCGGATACGGAGACTTTGCTGTGTGAACTTCTTTCTGTTTAAAAGAGTTGACGTCTTCTGGTCTTGGTGGGAGTTACTGGAGGAGTGTCCTGGACAGTTCGGGATCTGCACGTCCCGTCGCTTGTTGGGCGTCTTCCATCGCCAGATGTTTTTTACTCCTGCTTTCTTCTTCATGTCTTTTGTACTGTCTTTGTCTCTTTTATGGCGTATATGTCTTCTCTTTTTTGCTTCACATTTTCACTTCCTGTTTAATTTCGCTCTCATTGATTACAGTGATTTTGTTCATCTCCCTCAGGACAACATCAGCGACCTCAACCACTGCAGTACATAACCACACATGCTCCCCGTCCAAACTGAACTGAACCTTTTGGTGGCACAAAAACAACTCTTCCCTCCTCTTCTGACTCAGTTTTTATTCTTTTATTGCAAAAGAAGGCAGAGCAGATGATGAGATAAACATTAAGTCAGTAATTAGCTAGCCCAAAGCGGCTAGCCCAATGCTAACTTCACATGTGACTCAGTGTAGTTCACGCAGTAAAGGCTCAGTATGTCTGTTTATGAAGATGTATTTGTTATACTTGCAGAACAATACAGTTTGATCAACAGTGTTATTCTTTCTTTTCTTGGTTTGGTTTTGTGAGAAACTCATTTCCATCATATTTCAGTCAAACATCCAAAGTGCATCCAGTATTGTCGAAATTGAATACTGTTGTACAAACAAAAGTTTTATCAAAGATGATGAGATGAAGATGGACCTAAAATGTGTTTCAGAATAATAATCATGTGCTGTTATGTCACATTTTGTTTCTGTGTCTTTTGGTTCAAAGTGCAGCATAAATATAAATATTTTCATGTGTCACATTTTACTGGAAGGTATTAAATTAAATATCAACTGTCAAATTAAACCTGTAAACCACAGTGTACTGCTTAAATAAGTGACTTGAAACTGTGAAGGAAATATCACGTTTTTGTTAAATTTATATTTAAAGAAGCTTTTTGTCTTTTGATTTGTGATCAAATATACTCAGTCGGCTTTGATGCTTTTATTGTTTCATTTCAGTCTTTCATTCTGTGTTCCGTCCTGTTTTGTTTCCATATGTTTTGTGACTGCTGTTTGGAATATGAACACGCTCTGAACAGACAATGTGCGAGGAGTTTATATATTTATATACACGTTCTGTTTCTGTTCGGATGCTTTCAATAAAACTGAAAATTTAAAACAACTTGCGTGTACCAGAAAGTATGATTTTCATTTCAGTATGTTTAGACATTAAAACACTTTTGGAATATCAAACCCAGAGTTTCCCTCTGCTTCCAGTCTTTGTGCTAAGCTACGCTAATCACACACAAACACACGTTTCTTTAAAAGATATTGGCCTTTTCCTTTTCGGTGACAAATGCTGCAAAGATGCTGAGTTCCACGCCAACAATACAGAAGGTACCCTCGTGTAAACATGGAAACGCCACACATGAACGCACTCCAATGCATCTCTTTCCCAGACAAACACACACACACACACACACACACACACACACACACACACACTTTAATTAAAGCAGAGAATTATTCACCATCAGAGGACGGACCACCTTTCCACGATGACTCACCCTCCACATTCCTGCTCGTCTCCTGGATACGTCTCCAAACTCAGTATTTATCTTTACAACATAATCACACTGTGTGCGGCAGCTCACACATTCCCTTTGCATCGTATTCATATCATCTCCAAACTCTACAAGACGTCTCAACTGGTGTTTTATTTTCTTATCAGCTGACACAAGTTTCTGCATGAAAAGCTGAATTTAGAAGATTAATTCAACCAAATCTAGCCAATAACCATAAATAACAATAAAGGTGTTATTAATCAAAAGTTCTCTTTTCTGTCCATCAACTCAGAGAGACGTGAGAGGAAAATATACTTTCACACACTCGCTCTTTCATTCCTTAATTCGGGGACAAACTGGCCGGCTTTTACAAATGCCAAACAGGTGGTGAGATGAAGAGCTTTGGGACGAGTCGGCCTGTTTCATCTTCCGGAGCTTTTGGAGCATGAGTGAGCGGAAACAGGCCGGCATGGTTTCACCTCGTGGCTCTGGAGAACGTGAAGGAACATAAAACAGGTGCTTTATCTGCTGCTGTCATGCGGACGCCTCATGGAACCTGCAGTCATTCAGATCAACTGTCAGTCATGAATTCTCTCTAAAACAATCTTCTTTAGACGTTTTATGAGACGTTCCTTTCGCCACATCTCTCTGCCGTACGTCTCAGGATACTTTTACATGCTCTCACTTTTCGTCTCCACATCTTCTCCTGCTTTTTGCTTTGTGTTGCTCTATTTCAACATATCAACATGTCCGTTCAGATGTGGAGAAATACAAAGGTGTTGACCTGAATTTCCCATGAGTTACTTTCTCGATTCAGTCTCATTATAAGGAGTTCCTTCAGCGTACTTGTGTGATTTATAATCTCCACATATATATATATATATATATATACACATACACCACTCTGCTCTACACTATACACCAGACTCCATGGCAGTTTCCCAACTTGTTGGTTAAAGGTAGACATCACCTGCTTGTGAAGAAGCCTGTCTTGTTTTCTTTTAACCTCTGTCACCATCTGGAGCAGCTTGTCGCCTGTTACCTGAGGAACACATCAGAGGTAAACCAGTGAAGGAGGCTCTTGTTTTATGGATGAGAAGACTGTGTGGGCGCGGGCGAGAGGCATCCAGGTGACTTGTTAGAGAGGGAGAAAGTCAGGTTGCGTGTGTGTGTGTGTGTGTGTGTCTGCGCCCTGTTTATCATTGCTCTCACACACACACTCGTTAGCAGGGAAATCAATGGCGGAGGAGGGCAGAGAGAACAGTTAGCGAGGTCTTGATGACTCAGGTTATGTTGCTGTGTGTTTAATTGAATGCTTCTTAAAGGCCCTGCATATCCACGCAGGTGTTTTCATTCATTCTGGTTAATTGGACCTCGTCACAGGTTTGATTTGTGTGTTTGGAGCTCGGTTGGTATTTTGTTGAGGTCGCCAAACTTAACGAAAATGTTCTGCACGGACAGTGAAACTTGCTGAAATGGAGACATTGAATTATGAACATGTCTGTGTGCAGCCATCTTTTCAGTGGGAGTACAGTTAGTTCTCCTCATTTGCATCCTAATGCGTCGTGTTTCCTGGTGTGGCATTAGAGCAGTGTGACATTTTGTGTCAAATCTAAAAAAGATTACGTCAGCACACTGTTGATGGTTACTTTCCTCCCACAATGCAATGCACAAAAGAAAACTGAGAATTAGCTGGCAGTGGGAATGAAAAACTATCTAATGCATTTTTGTAAAAAGATTCAGCTGTTTCCTTGGAAATGGCATTAAGTCACACATTTCCTGTAATAAAACGGTTAGTGAGCTGATTTCTTATCGTAAAAGCAACAAACAATCTACAATAAAGATTAATATACATAACACCTGTTGATTGCAGATGCAGCAAAGGTAACAGGTGAGTCAGGGAGCTGTCAATCAAGCCCGGTCTGACCACGCCCACAAAGTCATGAGCGGAAGTCTGATCAGCCACAGAAGGAAACACCTGTGTGTGCGTGTGTTAAGTCACTACAAGTCAAGTTAATGTAATTTCTCCGGCCTTGGAGAGGTTTATAATCTGTACAAAGCAGTTTGCAGCAGCCTCCATCCTCAGAGACCTGGATGAGAAAACTTCAGAGCAGTAGGTGCTGAACTCGCATGTTTTATTGCAAAATTGTGTTGAAAATCTAAACTTTAAGGTTTAGTTTGTTGTCATGCAACATTGTGCTGCCATCTAGTGGCGGTTGTTAAAGGATGATGATGGATGTTTTTGCTGCATTATTTGCATGAATGTTTGACTTTTTGTCTGATGCAAACATGCCTTGTAATTTTGAAATTATATTTGCAAAACATTTCTGAAAGTAACTAAACATGAACAGCTACTAATCAGATGAACCTGGAGAGCTGGGTTAAAAGTAAATATAATAAATATATTATATTTTAAATCTGCACAGATGTGCAAAATGTTACGTTCTCGTACACATGGGTTCCTAACTTTGTCACGGACACAAGTGTTATTATCTCTGCATCCTGCTGTTGATGTGTAAAGACACTGAGTTGTCATATTTCCTCGCGAGGTGTCACAGTTTCAGCAGCTCGTGCAGCCCAGTGCGCAGAGGAAACACACAAAAACAGAACACGAATGAAAACTCTTCAAAATAAAACCATCCTCGGCCTCACCGGATGCATCACGCGGTTTTACTGGATAGAAGTCCGATCAGAACAGGAGAGGCTTTTATTTTTTTAGGCTTAAACGGAAGTCTTATTTTGTATTCCTCTGCCTGAACTTGACGCGTCGTCTCATGGCATCATTTAGAGGTTGATCCACGCGTCACACACACCATCACTCGTGTGTTACTACATGCAGACAGCTGCTACGCACTTGGTGGGGGGCGATGGAGAGACATGATATGACATTTGGCCACGCGTAATTTGCGCATTTGGAAAAAGCGGCGCGCGCGAGGAATGCGCCGCTGTGTGATGATTTGACTGTTTGCGGACGACTGCTGCTGTTGGAGTAAGTCCAGGGATGCTGCGGCTTGTCTGGCTGCCGGAGTGCCGCCGCGCAATGCGGGGCTGCGCCCTCCACACTTGCTGAGTAGGAGCGGCGCGGATCAGGCGTCTCTTGACTCTCAGTTGAATTACGCGCCATGGATCGCTCCTGGGACATTTAAGCATCCTGCCTGTGGGAGTGCGTACCGCTCCTCCTTAGGCTGCAACATGGGGAACAGTTTGACCAATTTGGGTGCCTTCCAGTCCTTGCACATAGTCATGCTGGGCTTGGACTCTGCGGGCAAAACCACCGTGCTGTACCGGCTGAAATTCAACGAGTTCGTAAACACGGTGCCCACCATCGGCTTCAACACGGAGAGGATCCGGCTGGGCGGAGCGGGGGCCTCCAGGGGCATCAGCTGCCACTTCTGGGACGTCGGGGGCCAGGAGAAGCTGCGGCCCCTGTGGAAGCCCTACAGCCGCTGCACGGACGGCATCGTGTACGTGGTGGACTCCGTGGACGCGGAGAGGCTGGAGGAGGCCCGCACCGAACTGCACAAGATCACCCGCTTCTCGGAGAACCAGGGGACCCCTCTGCTGGTCATCGCCAACAAGCAGGACCTGCCCCGCGCGCTGGATGTCGCGGAGATAGCGCGGCAGCTGGCTCTGTCCGAGCTGAGCCCCTCCACCTCGTACCACGTCCAGCCGGCCTGCGCCATCATAGGAGAGGGGCTGGATGAGGGCATGGACAAGCTGTATGAGATGATAGTGAAGAGGAGGAAGTCACTGAAGCAGAAGAAGAAGAGGCAGTGATGCAGATATTCCTGAATTATATAGCAGTTAAAGGCATAAATAGCATAATTGTTCACCATGTCTCCATGTATGACAGATTTATAGTGATGCTAGCTGAATGTTATGAAGGGACATGAAGACAGAGAACTAGATCATCATATAGTATAAATAGGAGTCTCATAAAACAATCATAATAATCTCAAACATCCGGGAAAATATAGTGATGCTTTGCCTTGTTCAGCAGTTTTAACCCTCCCAACAGGCAGGTTGTGTCTCTGTGAGTATGATTATTAATAGGACTGTTTCATACTGCTGCTGCCGTGTTGTGCTGTGCACACACATGCGAGACTGTTAGTGCTGCACTGATTCTGTGAAATGGTGTTAAACCAAAGATGATCCCCCAAGAAGACAAAGCTCTCCTCCATTGTTTAGTTACTTACAACCGTCCCTGACGCTCCGAGGCCAACGTGTAAACCTGCAAGAGATTGAGTTGAGACGAGGCCGAGATTACAACCATGACTTTGTTTTTACTTTCTCAGTTTAACTTCAGTTAACTTCTACGTTTTAACACAAGTTAATACGCTAACACAAAGTGTAGGGATGCACCGATATGGATTTTTTTTCAGCCGATACTGATAATTGGCTGCTTCTACCGATAACCTGAAATTATCGGTATTCTTTTCGTCTTTTGAAAATAGGTTCATGCACACCTGAGTGTAAGAAAGGATAATGAGCAAAGATGGATGTTTTAATATTCCAAATAGCTCTGACCAAAACTAATTTACTATTGTTATCATCACAAACAACTTCTGACTCTTCCAATTATACATTTTTTTTTTTTCTTGTAAAGTACATAAGAAAACAAAATTGTATTGCAATCATGTTGTCTTCCTCTGAAAACTGTGAAAAAAGTCCAAACCTGCGACGCCATGTTTAGCTTCTTCTTCTATGTTTGTTGGCGGATCACAAGCCAACTTTTAAGAGTGTGCAGATGCTGCGCTTGGTAAGTCAATGAAAGCAATTTATTGTCTATAATTTCATTATTGAAATAATATAACTCATGGGCCCGATGCATATTGTGCATCCTTATAAAATGCTGCATTTGATGCAACAATGTGTGGCATCAACATTCTCTATGATTAAGATTATGGAATAATAGACTCCATGCTCATTTTGCACTTTCTCTCCCAGAGAAACCTCCTTTGATTAGATCTCCTCCAGAAGCCATAGTGGAGGTCTTGAGCTCGGCTCGTTTTGTGTCTTACAGAAGTCAGTAGATCTGATTTTGACTGCTCACCTTGGATCTATGAACATGTGGCTCTCTTGGTTTTATCCTTGGTGCAGCGTCACCACGTTTCTTCCATGAAAACTAACAACTAGTTGCTGAATAAGTTGCCAGTGGACACCATGTGTTAGTTCATTGCTGCATAAACCTGCATTTGCTACAGCCAATCAGAGTGTACAAATGTCCGGCTGCAGGAATTTGCTGCCAAATACTTGTAGAGAGAGCATGTTTCCAGTGGCTAGAAAAAAATATGCTAGATTTGCTGCTAGTTTCCTCTTTTATATTGAAATGTAGATGTTTATTTTATTTGTGCACCAAATATCCATTTGACCGTCATGATGGAGCAACAAATGTGTAGATCACAGTGCCATCCATGTTATAGTTACTTACATCATTGGCTGCCAAACAAGTGAACGTCAAATGGTGCAAACTATCATTGTGCATTGCACATGACTTGGGACAAAATGAGATTGTCTTTTTCTGTTAAATCCCAACATGAATAGTTTTGCGGTCATCTGTTTATCTGAGTTGTTGAGAACGTGTTATGAGTGTGTTATGAGTGTGTCCTGCTGGCAAAAAGCGTCTTCCTGTTTCAACGATGTAGTGAAACAAACCAACGGGCTGGAACCTGTTGTGCTGCTCCAAACATGACTTCTCCTCTCATTGAAGGTATTGAATCCTAAATATTTCCTCCAGTTGAATGATGAACCAAAACGTGCTGTGTGGGTTTTTTTTTTATTATTATTTAATCCAATTAAATCAGTTCCCAACCTTGATAATATTAACAGGATGTTCCACCCACATGATTGACAGCTTGCAGACTAGTTGCATTTCGTCTTGACTGACAGGACGGTTGAATGTCTCGCATGGACCGCGTTCACGTCAAAACAGAAGAACAAACGGGGTGAAATCTTGTTGCAAGTTGATTGTGTTTTGGGGTTGATTTGGTCATTTAATATTTAATATAACAACCACAAGGGGGGCAGATTTATTTTGTGTTTATTTCCGACGTGAACGTGGCATCCTTCTCCTGCAGTAATCAGTCGAGCTGTGTTCAACATTGCATGACAGCCACTACTTCAGACGATGTAAATAATAAGTACAGTGTTGCAGCAAGACCAAACGATGTGTTACGTGCCAATAATGGAAAAAAGTATTTTTGGGATTAAACTCTTTGTAATTGAGCGTGTGTGTTGTCTGGCTCTCTCTAAAGCTTTAATCAGGGTGGGGAATTCCCAGCAGCTCTCAGCTAAGTGTCAGCTATACATTGTAGTTAGTAATAATTTAAAATATACTACTTTACGACTATATAAAGGAAATTCTTCATGTTAAATCAAATACTGAACCAACCTGCTGAAGCGTGCTGCAACTGTGACTTTGGCGTGTTGGCTGTCTTCAAAAAATTGTCAAATTTCACTCAAGGCAGCTTCTCTGCCTCTAAACTAATCATCCAATATCAACAACATCCTCTATATAGTTATATTTGCCAACGATATTATATTTAACTAAACAGAAAATGATTAAATGAATGGAATGAATAAAGAACATGATGGAGTGTAAGATGAACCCAAAACAAATAAAGGATTGCATGTGAGAAAGTAGAATCAGTATTTACACAGGTACTTCTTTCATCGAAGCATTTATTCTATTGACATGTTTGTTTATACTATTCTTTTTCTAAGTTACTTGTTGTACATACACTGGTAACGAGCAGGTCTGGAACCCAACTCAAGTACGCCCAGAACTCTTCTCTAAACGTATTCTTCTCACGTGTTAATAGACTTAAAAATTCACTGCACCTCATAAAGATCGAACTTGCAACCAAATAGGCAAATCCTTGCCATCAAAACCTAAGTTTTAAAAAGAAAAAAAAGAAAAGATAAATGAAACTCAGGTTTGTTTTACCCACTCCCTTTATTTGTTTTTTTGTCTTTTTGATGCTCATAGTAATAATAACATAATGATTGTACACCAGCATGTCTCAGTGTCATTACAGCCACAGTTTGAACTGACAATCTTAACTTCAGTCTGATAATCACCTTTTTAATCTTCACATTCACTTCAGTATGTTCCTTCATTTGGATCTGGAAACCTTCTTCTTGCTGCAAAGCTTCCTCCAGCTGAGCCTGACCACGTTCTTTTAGCTTCACGCCACTAAAACACAGATTCTTTTAGTGTCATTTAGGCTGTGTGCATTTAAAGTTAACATTTAGTTAAAGAACACATGATGTATATTTTAAAATAACCCGCAGTACCAGGAAGTAGTACATGAATAAAACCCTTTTTATTTTTGTTCTTCACTGCACACTTCATTTCTATTATTTCACCAAAGATTATATTCTATTTAAAATCTCATAATAATCGTCACGAATCATTGGATTACTGCAGAAATAACATATGCCATCCTCTCGGGTGGATCAGATGAAGACGCCAGCATTGTTTCACATTAACGGTCAAACAAGCTTTCACAAGCAGTGAGAGTTCAGCTCCTTATTGTGACGAAGCTTAAATCAGGAAGACGAGCAGATACAAACTGACGACTCATGGTTTATACTTTGTCCTCTGATGGAGGTTCAAATATCGAATAGATTTCCATGAACTCTTCTGATCGCATTCCTGCTACTGAGAGGAAGATTTGATGTCAATGAGCACATGAGCATTCCTCTAGCGCTACCCTCAGGTTCGACTTTACATCTTTAGCTCCAAGAATAACCAAATCCTCCATATCCTCTGATTTAAAAGACTTAAAGAGTAAATCATTAATTAGAAACAAGTTAAATTCGTTCATTCCATGTCATTGATCAACAGGGCGGCGGTCTTCATCTAATTGCTCCAGGCCATAGAGATGAGTGCTGGGTTTTCATCTGCAGCTTTAGACCTGGAAGATCTGCGCTTCCTTTTATCGCCACCGCTGCAGGTCTGTAACACAGAGAGGACGGTTAGATGTTAGACTTTACAAAGAGCAACACTTCAATGATATAGTACAGCAGTATTTCCTCCACTCCTGCTTACCGGAGCACATTGGTCCTGCTTGGGGCACAGCTCCAGTTTGCAGTGCAGGTAGATTTCAGGTTCTTGCCCAGAGAACTCGAACATGTTGAAAGAGAAGAAGTTGGAGGTTCCCAGTCAGTTTCCCTCCACCATCACCGTCTGGTCAGCTGGGTTCGGGCATCTGCTCAGAAACAGGGAAACGGACACGATGAGTTCATCAGCAGTTGATTCTTAAAAGCCGCCGACTAAGAGTTCTTTCTCACCCAGCAATGACGAGGTCGTATCGCGGACTGCCATTGGGGGACGGCTGGTTGGTTGCCCAGCAGGAGTCGGTCACTATTGCGACCGTGTTGTCGTCCAGCCCCTCTGTCTTCAGCTCCACCCAGACCTTCTGGTTCAGCCGGATGTCAGTGCTCGACCCAACGAGGTTCATGCGGCCGGCATCGGTGTAGGCGCACATCATCAGAGTAGTTATAAACTCCAGATACAATCTGCAGCACCACAGAGCACCACACATTCTCGTGGCGGTTCATTTGCGTTGTTTTTGAAACAAACTGATAAAGATGAATCTTGATTGAAATACACCTGAAAAACAAAGACACCATTCATGAAGTAATGTATGTATGTATGTATGTATGTATGTATTGCAGTAAGTAAGTTGTGTGTTTAGAATTTCTCCAAAACAAAGTCGGTTCAAGCCTAAAATAACATTTCTTTCTCATTTTGGTGAAAGCAGTTTGCGTTCAACAAATCCTCGGACCCTTCTCTTAACCTGTATGAGCTGTTTTACATTAGAGAGAAGAAGACGAGGTTCACAGTGAACTGGCGGGTAATTTGAAGATTTGTGGGTGATATTAGGAGAGAGAACAATATTTAAAGGTCAGGAGATTATGGCCAGTATAGTAATCCTAAATACGTTTATTGTTTTCTATCATGGATGTTTATATTAATCTATAATTATTAAACACTGGAGAGTTTTACTCTTTGAGGCTCTAAAGAATTTGGCAATGCTGTTATTTCTTTATCATTTTTGGAAAGAAGTGTTTGTATTGATCACAGGGGAAATAGACACGACTGTCCAGCTAACGTTTGAAGACGTCCTCGGTATTAGTTGGCAGTCCGAAAAACATCCAATCTTTTAATAAATCACGGATGTCCAACGCTTTCGACTGAACGAGTCTTCATCGGGGTGTGAAGTGTGATGAGGACAGGTGATCACATTTAAAGACTGCCCCTCAAACACTTATAGACACGACGGTGAGAAACATAAATCCAAACATGTACTGAAACAAACAAACAAGAAAAGATATTAAATCAATCAATAACAAAATAAAGTAAATCAGCTGTAATACTCACAAATATGTAATGAGTGAAACAAACAAATAAATTAAGGTCATAAATAATGAGTAAACAAAAGTGTGAATAGACAACGAACTTGTTGAGCCCTACAATATGAAAATACTCATAAGCGAAGCCAATAAACATATTGACAGGACATTATTATTATTATATGATGTATACAGAGACAACATGACCAGACAGCCTCATGGGGTCCTGCAGTGAGTCACACTGTTGTTTTAGTGACTCAGTCAGTTGTGTTGAGTTTCACAACACAAGAACTTCTTCATTTAAACCCAAGCACCCACTATTTATTCATCCGTCTTTCATTCTTTCAGACTTCATCCTTCATACGTGATATTCTGTTCGGCTGACCTGCGGACTAAAACTGTTTTATTCATGCAGCTCCTGGAATGAATCACTCGTATGTGAGCGGACTGTGAGAGGCTGAGGAGGGAATGAGATGCAGGTGAGGACCTGTTTTTAACTACAACTTTGAGGTACTTGTATTTTCAGTTACTTTATAGTAATACTCCACTCCAGGCAAATGTTGTACTTTTACTATTTGTATTTTATTTGGCAGACTCGGAATACTAACCAGAATATAATCACAAACTACATTCTGGTGTAATGTTTGAGGTAAAGACAACAGATGACAGTGATGTCACACCTCTCATTGTCTGTCTGTTGGATAACAACAGTAACACAGCGTCATTTTACTCACTGTCAGGATGTTGAATGAGCGTCCAAAAAAGGTCATGGGACACGTGCTGATGTCCACGTCTCCACTAGGACCATTAGGTATTACTGGTTGAGACAGGTAGAGATCAACCTGGCTGGCAGCAGCTACAGCGTGAATGTGAAGGAAAAGAATATCATACATCAATTAATACAGTTCTTTCATAACTCACACTTCAAGTGAATTCTGGGTTTTAGAGATTAAATTCCTTCAGTGTGTGTTACTACATCATTTAATTCATGAATGTAAGTAGTTAAAGGTTAAGCCCTTTATAAGCAACTGAATCTATGAAACTAAATTGTCCCAATTGAACTTGTTTTGATTAAAAGCATTTTATTCATTTGTATTGATTTCATGTTTTAAAAGAATCATTCAAGTAAAAATCTGTGTTGAAGGCAGAAGTAAATCAAACACAAACAGTGACGCAGTATCCAAAGAGGGTTTTACTTTCAAATCGATTTCATCAAAAGGCTTCAAAATAAAGGTTGTGTTCTAAAGCAGTGAAAACGTTTCAATGGCTGCTTACCTGCCAGCAGGAGGAGCAGAGCACCTGGCTTCATGATGAAGCGGCAGTAAACTGTGGAGAGCTGTGAGAGAAACAGTTCATGTAGTGACACGAGAAACACCTTTTATTTATTTATTTATTCATTATATTTTTACTTTCATCATCCAATCAACACATTTTGCATCTGTACATCAAACTTATAGGCAATGAGGAAACTGAAAAGTGGTTGTTGTCACAAGGAACTTGAGTTTCACCATAAAATATAACAAGAATAAATCATCAAATGAAGAGAAACACAAAGAGGAACAGCATGAGAGCAGAGTCATAATAATGATAAGCTTTTACCATCACAGGGGAGGTTATTCTACAGTGTTGGAGCTAAAAGACTCAACATTTGGTGCAGAATAAGGAATTTAAATAACAGGAATATAATGTGGACTTTGAAAGTAAAATAAATCACCTGAAAGATGTAACGCAAACATTTCCAAATCATTTCAACGAGCAGTGCAGTTTTCTTCTTTGTTTTCCCTGAAGTCACTGCACATTCAACATGCATGTTCCTGTCTATATACAGAGGTACCATGATGCATCTTGATGGAGGGGCTTTAAAGACCTGCAGTCCCCTTTGATAGTGCACTAGCGTCACATGAATTCAGGCAGAGAGGAAGAGCGTGCAGCTGGTCTTACCGTCTGGAGGTCGGGTGGAGCAGCAGGGAGATGGAGCTTTGCAGATGGAGGTCAGTGATGAGCCGCTGTGGGACGTTTCTTCTCTCGGGGAGATGTGCCTGCTGTTTGTCTCTCTCCGTCTCTTTTCATGCTGGTCCTTCTCATCACGCCCCTTAAGACCGATGTAAGTTTTACATTCTCCAAAACTCCTCAAACCGGCTTTATGTCCTTTATGTCTGTTGCGTGACTTGCTTGTCTTATTAATAACCCACAGGAATTTAATGAGTGACGTTCCTTTGAGATGCTTTTCTATGGTAGATGTGTTTCAGTATGACGCCCTTGATCGACATGTGAACGTGGAGGACAGACTTAAGATTTTATCTTAATACTTTTCATCGAGAAAGTCTAGTTTTCAGTTCTTCGTCTTCATGTTCTAAAAAATGTTCATGCTGTTTGTCATCTTGGATTTCTACCAGCGGTGATGATGATTTCATAAGTTAGTTATCCTCTTTGTCAATGTGATGGTGAGAAAACACTGATGAATTAATGAGCAGACTTTGATTTAACATCAGAGTTGGCTTGTGTCTTTTCAAACTGAAAGGTGCTCACTATAAGCACAAGTACAAATCAAAGCGGGCCCTCGCATCCTCCCGCACGTCGGGGGTGCCGGCGGGACTCCGCGAGAACGTCCGCGACCGTCGGACAACACGTCGGCGAGTGTGATGTTTTTGTTTTTTTTTATCCCGCGTGGACCACCTGATGCTGGAAATGATGAAACATTTGTAGCGTGCGCTATGGAGGCAATTCAAAACGGCCAAAATCCCATATAAAATATGTCTTCCCATGACTTATGACACATGTACAAAGTGTCATGAGTTTTTGAGCGTCTCAAGCTACTGAACCATCAGCTTCTTTTTCATGGCAAATGATGCGTTGCCACGACAACAGCGTTCAACAAAAACTCACATTATTCATGATGAAGCATCTTCAATGTCATAAGGCTTTCCTTACTACATTTGAGACTGATCTGGTCAACTGTGTAGGAGTAAATGAAAGTATAAATTGTGACATTTCCTTTTGCCAGTAGGTGGCGCTATGAGTTATTGAATATATTGGCATTGATATATGCTCATACTTGAAGTAACATCATACATATGTAATATTTTGCAGATTGAATAATGTACCTTGGAGTTATAACAACTTTATTGTTCAGGCTGAATGAGGCAAAATGGCCGCCTCGGCACGGTTCTTCCATGAAAACTCACGAATTTGAAAACTTTCCATCACAAAGGTAGCTCGATGTACTTTGTGTATTTGAATTTCAACAGGGCCTTCGCGGCCCGACGTCGGTCTCTCGGGCCCTAATAACACTGCCGGTTTCAATGTCTACGATAAGGTGGATCTATAATTAACGTTTGATATTAAGTTAAAATGAAATGTGTGAGAAGCATAGTCGTACAATCTGGCTTCATTTCACCACCTCACCATCTGCGTCAACATTTTCCGTTCTGCAAACTATTCGAACACGTGGGTCAGAGTTTCTGTACGTGTGTGATTGTCTTCTTTGGCGTCTTACGTCTGTCCTCCGCGTTCACACGCCGATCAAGGGCTTCAGAAATCCTCCTCGACTAGATTCTTTCATTGTTAGCTGCTTATTAACCTGAGGGGATTTCAGGTGAAGTTATGTGTGCAGTTATGGAACTATTATGTAATTTCTCCTCCCTTAAATGCAAATGTTTTGGATTAGAGAAAAGCGACAATTACAAATGATACTAACAATCATAAAAATATCACGTAGCCCGACCAGAATTTAACTTAAGACTTGATCTATTATCATCCTACACATGTGCATGCTCTTTTCTTCATGGACTGACACGAGATATGATAATGATATTTGCATGTTGCCACAAGATCAGTTATTATTGTTAGTTACACAAATCATTCCAACAGGTCTGAGCTCCCTATGAGGCTGTTATTGGATATGATGCTTTGGTGAAATATTCACATGGTGTGATTTGAGTAAAACCAAAGTTCTAGTGAGCAGGTTCTTCAGCATTCTGTCCTGGTGGCCTAGAACGTGAGAGCTTCAGGCGCTTTAAAACAGGTTTGTGACAAACGACCTTTCGGTACCTTCCAGAAAGGTTCCACACAAAGCAGATGTTTGTTCTTAGGACATTATGTAAAGGAGGAAAGTATTCAGGTCAAATAAATGAAGGTTTGTCAAATCATCTATTATTGATACATTCCCAGTGAAATTCAAACTTCCATGTTGTCGCTTATTACATGAACTCTAAACTGAACTACAGGTTAAAATGTTGGAGCAGAAAACTAACAAACTGATCAGCTGTTACTGAAAGTTTGTATAAATTCATGTCATTAAGTTGAACGCGTTTCCCTGATTGTGATCGCTCCTCTCTTTTATCATTCCTCCACCTTCAAGTAAACGTTCTGCATTAACAATCCTAAAGTAAAAATACATAATTACTATCAATACTTTTATACTTTTTAATTGGTGGAGTTTAATTCCCACAGATGCATGTTAACAAAGACACATGAAAACAGGACAGACCGTTGTTCCGCAGTGCTGGCTAAGATAACGAGGCTTACAGTAAAATGCATCCACTGTTTTAAAGGTTTCACACGTTTCCCCTGAAGCAAGGTGTGTCAGTGGGTTAAATCTGATCCTCCTTCATCGGCTGCTGGCAGTGAGAGCTGATCCCAGTGTTTCTATGAAGCGATGGACGTCGCTGAAGGAGTTGTAGAGCGGCACCGGAGCGATTCTGAGCACGCTGGGCTCCCTCATGTCACACTGAACGACACCAAAAAACAACAGAGTTCATAAACACACGAATCTACAACGTTTTGATTTGCTGTGCTTCACTTTCATGAGAGTACTGTCAGCTGTGTGAACCTCATGCTTTCTCAGCAGTTCAAATAACGTGGATTTTAACATTTTATTTTATATATTTGTTTTCTCCAGTTTTGTTTTGTTTTCAATCCGGCACATTTTGCTCTAATTATGAAGATCAGGGTATTTTTGTGAGATGAAACTGATCTTTGATGCATATTGACGTAAAAAGGCACATCCCATCCTGTTGTGTGTTCTTTCTTTTCTCTTACTATGTTCATTGTGACGGTTATGCACCAAATATGTTTGTCAAAACCTACTTGGAGGTTGCTTAAGATCAATGTGTTTTGTTTTAGTAGTTGCTGAAGAATAAAACAGGTTTTATAAACTCGAGGGCACACAGCACTGCTTCTAATCTCAGATTCAGACTGATGTGATGTTGGGTTTTTCTTTCCCGATGGTGCTCTTCCATCACAACACTCTAGCAAAAGCTATTCGATACTCACAACGACGCCCCTCTTCTCCAGCTCCTGGTAGACCTTTCTGATGGGGATGTGGATGGGGAAGCAGAGTGAGAGCTGACAGCCTCTCTGCTCCGGGTCAGAGGGCGTGATGATGCGGATGTGAGGCTGAGTTGGGTCCTTGGTGTAGTAGTGCTGGATCAGGTACTCCAGGTAGCCCGTCAACAGGAGGGACTTCCTGCGCAGCGCCTTCATACTGGTCATCTTAAACACCTGGAAAGATATTAAATCACGTCTCAAGAAGACTCTATTTCATCTGACGTTCATGTCGTTGACATGCAGTGAAAAATGTGGGGATCACTGCAGTACCTCCAGACTGGCCTGCAGGGGGCAGACCAGCAGGATGGGCTGGTTGGACAGTCTGAAGCCGTTCACTCCAAGCTGCAGCTTCAACTCTGAGATCACACAAAACCAACACCGTCACAGTTTGTGTTTGAGGCATTTAAGAACAGACACGTGTGGAAATATGTGTCATCAATATTCAGAGTACAGTGCTAAGTATGAATTAATTAACTCACATGGCTTCAGAGAGACAAACTAGCATCATGTTGCACCGCAGGGTGCAGCTGTGTGTCATATACAAACATGAGAAATATTTCCTTTACCGTTACCCATCAGGAACCGAGTTTTCAGATCATGGCCCCACCATCCCACCAGGCTGCAGGAAGCAGGAGATGTGAATGATGGAAAATAATAGATAATCATATTTGTATATTTAGAGACATTATACTGCTCGCTTCTCAGTGCTAAAGTATCTCCATCAGTCCAAGACAAGATTAACATTTGACTTATGTATATGCTTATGTATATCTTCTTAAAGATATACATAAGCATATACAGTAAAAATGAATAAAAAAGAGGAAAATAAAAGAATACATTTGTTAAATAAACAAATAATTATAAGCATTTTAATTCATTCATTAAAATATATATTTGTTTATTTTTTGCATGCAAGTTACTCAATTCTTTTCTGTATATTTACTCAAATGTAATCAATTTCATACATATTTCCTTCGTTGCCCGATTCAGTTCATTCTATTATTCATTTCTCTTCATATTTCCACATTTATTTTATCGTTCTTTTGCACTTCTATGATTCCATATACCTTCCTACGTCTAAGGTTTTGTTTGAGTTGGTTCCTGAATATTATTGTATTGTTCTGACAATGAAATCAGCTGACTGAGTTATTTAAACGCTGTGTGAGGACTCACGCAGGCTTGATGTCTTTGTGTTTCTTGTGGATAAAAGCTCCGGCTAGTCCTCCAGCGCCTGAGTTTACATACTGTGAGAAGAGTCATCACTTATACATGCACTGTGCACCTTTATTTGTGTGCTCATAATCCCCCCCCCCTCCGGTAACAAAGGTCCCGTCTGCTGACCTTGTAGGAGCACCAGCAGGCAAAGTCCACCCCCCAGTCGTGCAGCTTCAGCTCTGCGTTTCCCACAGCGTGGGCGCAATCAAAGCCCACATAACAGCCCTGACACACAGAAAGAGACCGTCATGTTCTCACTGTGGAGCTTCTGACTGTACAGAGCGGATCGAAACATTACATTTAGAACAAGTCGTTGCAAGCAAAAGAAAACAGTTTACATGTAAATGAACAAGTGAAAGTAACAATACAGCAGTATAGAAATACTCTTTATTAATTATGAGCATGAAAGTATCATTAATGTATGTAATGCATCCACCTGTGCATCACTTTTATGTTGCAGCTTGTAAAGGGTAACTTAATATATAATTATATCATATTTATTTATATTTTCCATCCATAATCTGACTCTGCAAAGTAATTAAATGTAACTAAGCTTCCCTCTGAGATGTAGTGCAGTATGAAGTAGAACAAAATAGAAATACTCAAATACAAGTACCTGACAAAGTACTTGAGTAAAGGGGGATAGATTTGTTGTTTGTTACCTTCCTCTGGCCGGCCTTAGTGATGGCGGACATGTCGAACAGCTGGCCGGTGTAATACTGGACCCCGCTGAACATCACCACAGCTATGGAGTCGCCCTGCTTCTCGATCACCTCCAGGATGTCCTCAGTTCTCAGAGTGTCTTCTCCCTGAGCAGAAGCATCCTTTCATCATCATCCTCAGTGATCACATGCAAATAGGAACGTGAAAGCACTTTGTTTCCCCAAAATGTGTGACAGTAAACTCTGGATGACGGTGACTGTACCCGTCTGGGGGACAGCAGCAGCATGCTCTTCTTAGGGTCGAACCCTCGCAGCCGGATCTGAGACTCTACAGCATACTGAGAGACGTTAAGAGAAACCAAAACGTCTGTCAGTGGAGAGATGATATCTTATAATATGAGCATCAGAATAAACCATGTCTCTCATTCTTTTATTCTTCTGGTGTGCAGAAAATGCTTTCCAAAGTAAATGATTTGACAACTTACATCCTTGTTCCTGCAGTTGTCTGTTCTATATTTGCATCTATGGATGTTACGTTTGCACCGGCTTTTAAACAATGAATGTTTTACTTTGAGCCGCTGCAGACAGAAGTGCAGCACTAGTACAACAATGTAGTAAAGGGATTGTATCTACATTCCAGCAGCAGTGGAAGGAGTTTTAATAAAACTGGTGTTTTAGTGTCGGCGTGTGGGACCTTGACCGGTGCAGAAGGTCTGCAGGTCTACTCACGTGGTCTGACGGGAAGGCCTTGTCCTCTAGAAGGATTCTGTGCCGAGCTGCTGTGGGTTTGTAGAAGGAAAGCTGCAGAATAAGGACGTGAAAGGACAGTTAGTCTTGAACTTAATTAAATGTGCACAGTGGATGCACGTTAATCGATAAACCGGATGTCGTCCCTTTAGAGCTAGTGAAACGTTACCAGGAGAAGATGTAAGTTAACTGTCAGGCCGTTCATCAGCGCCACCTCCTCCGTTTTAGCTCCTGTAAGAAACATTTCACGTTTTATTGCTCATTATATGATCATTTGATTACAATCCTGTCTGTCGGGACGGACAGGGAAAAATTGAGTAATCTTTATGCAAACAAATTCGTAAATATATATTTTTAAGAATACATAAACACATGCAGAAATAACTGAAAATGAATGTGAAAATAAAAGAAAATGCTCATAAAGAAGTTAAATAAAGGCTGTTTCCCAACTGCAGATTTGTTGAAAGGCCTTCATGTGTACTTTGAACAGAACGTGCAGTGACCTCAACAAGCTGCTTCACAGAACAAGTATAATAAGCTGCAGGTGTGTAAGCAGCACATACACGCCTCCTACCTAGACTCTGTGAACTAATATGAAGTCTCTCACCAACAACATCAGCCATGAGGTCCTCGATGTTGTCTTCAGCCCACGCCCAAGGCCGAGAGCCTTCTGTGTGACCATGCACTCCCCTATGGAAAGAGTTTGTTCCACGCAGGGTCACTAAACATTCGTCTTTGTTGGTAAAATGTGAAACATAAAGAGGCGGGACATACGTTTTGGCCCACTTCTCCAGCTCCTCCTCCAGGTACTTCCGGGCCATTTTGGGCTGAAGCCCCAACGAGTTCCCCACAAGGTAGATGCATTCCTTGGTGCCATCGACCAGCGAGAGATCGGCTGACACATCAGACGTAGTTATCCAAACTGATCTCAAATACTGAACATTCGTATCTTTTAATGTTTGTTTTTTTACTCACAATGAGGCAAATCTGCAATTCTGGGCACCAGGAACTCCTCCCGGAGATGCTTCAGGCTGTCAGCTTTGTCCAGGTACGCAGCCACGTCTGCAGAGGTCGGGCTGCAGCCCAGCAAAGCTGAAACTCGCTTCAGCGTTTCTCTCGGATTGGAGTCAACAAACGGGTCCATTACTGTGGGATGGAGGCTGCTGGGCTGCAGAGAGAGGAAGCACACCAATAACAACAATAGTTAAGCTTAAATAATTAATCTAAATGTATATTTCTGTAAATTTACCCAAATATATGATTATATTTCACATCTGAACCTTACAATGTAAGTCACAAAGACGTTTTTTTCTTCAAAGGATTGCAATTGTCAAATCTATTATATTTCTCTCTATGTTTTTTATCTACAGAAAAATGTGTCAATGTGTACAAAGAGCAAACAGGAGGATGATGTTCAAGGGTCCAAAATACCTTCTCCAGAATGAAGAAACATTTATGAACTCAATAAGCATATTGTACATCATATTCTGTATCAAACATGCATTTGTGAGGGAAGAAAATTCAAATGTAACCTCGCTTATTTTACTTTAAAACTTGAGTTTTAAATGTTGTGCATGAAGCATCTATTTAAAGAGCAGTGTTCCCTCTGCTGTGATCTGTCACCCGACTACAAAGCACAATCTGCCCTCCAGACTTCTCTAATCTTCACAATAATTACTGTTTTATAAAACACTGCTTACAATAGTCTACTCTGTATAGAACGTCAGTTTACTTTTAAAGGTCTTTACAATCTGTGAGTTCACCGGAATGAATTAAAAAACCTTTAAACTATGTTTACCTTAAAGTATAACAACACGTTCTGCTCTAAATATGCAGAATATTATGTCGTTTTACTCAAACGCAACAATCAACTCAACACTCATTCTTTCATACAGCAGCATGTAGTGGACTCACTGTTGGCAGATGAGCTTCCTCTCAGAGTGGAGTGAGTCCTCTGCTCTGGAAACACCCTTTGACCTGTTTTCAGCCTCGAGTTAATCATTGTTCTCATGAAGCAACCTTTAGTTAAAACTAACGAGGACGTTTCGAATCAGCAGAACGAGTCTTGTAACTCTGCCATCAGACCGATACCTGCCGTGTTAACATGCAGACCAGAGCTAGTTCCCCATTTCTGAGGCTTCCCTTTCGTGCAAACCTACTTTTGACCATATATATAATATATAA